GCCAAGATTGCGCCACTGCACTCCGGCCTGGGTAACAGAGTGAGACTACAACTCAAAAAAAAAAAAAAAAAAAAAAAAAAAAAAAAAAAAAAAAAAAAAGAAAAAGAAAAGAAAAGAAAAAGAAAAGAAAAGCAAAAAGAAAGAGTGGGAACTGGATTCAAACTCAGTTCCAATTAAAAGCCCATGCTTTTAGACACTATTAGATAGTCTCTAATAAGCAATAATTCTACCTAACTTCAGAGCCTCTCACTATTTCCTTTTGAAGAGTTCCAAGCCCATGGCATTCCTCAGAGTGAGGAAGCAGGGATGTGGAACTTGATTTTCTTTCGAGGAGGGAACATGCTGCAACAGAGAAATCAGTTGTCATTCCTGTAGTCTTACAGCAAGTGAGCAACAGAACAAGGCTGTTGATGGAGAGACCTTAAGCTCTTGCTTATGAATCTGACTTTGATTTAAGAGGCAGCTGAGAGCCACTGTGATTTCTGACTGGTGCTTGCTGAACCCAGAGTGGGTTCAGATTGGATTAATATCACTGTCCTCTGTGTGGGGAAATGCTGCTGCTTGATAATAAGCAGGTTTTCAGAGTTTGGGAGGAGAAACCAATGTTGCCTAACAGCCCCTTCTGTGCTTAGCACACTTGATTGACTGTCCTTAGGTTTACAGCTCTCTGTCTAGCTTGTCACAGCAAAACATCTCTACTTCTTTGAATCTAGTTAGTTCAAGAAGATCTGTGACCCCCACCCTGCACCCTCTACTCCCAATAAACAGAAAAACAATCCTTGTAAATGTGCTTTAAATTTGTGTAGCTCAGTTTTCTCTGTAGTCTGCCAATTCTCCCCTGAGAATGCCCAGTGAAATGCTGCAAATGCTGCAGTGAACTGAAAAAAAAATATCAGAACAAACCACAAAATCCAACAACCCTAAGACTCCTGCTTTTAGGAGCCATTTGTAACTTTGGGATTTATTGTACAATTTATCTTTAGTTTCAGGTTATCCATTTGTTAGGGACAGAGGTGTCAGGAAAACATCTCTGCACCTGTTGCAAAATTTCATTTATGGCTGGAGACAGACACAGACACACACTAATAGAACATCATTCCAATTTTAGCATATGTGCTGTTGAATCAAGCACATGTACTTACAAAGCATCATTGAAGTTCAGCATATGTCCTGATAAATTAAACGACATCATATATAGACACACAAGACTGCAAGATTGAAAGAGTCATAAGAGGTCATCTAGCAGGGTTCTACTTTTCACACTCTGGCAGTGGATGCTTAGAGCATCTCTATAATGAGATGCCAAAGTGTGGGCAGCTCCAGTGGTAAGTTGGGCAACTGGTCTCAGTGATCAGCTTTTGTAACAAAGGTCCTATAAAATAAAGTGAAATTCATCTCCCCTGCACCTTCTAAACTTTGGGGGCTACTTCTTTTTTTGGAGTCACTCAGAACAAGGGATGTCTTTTTCCACACAGCCCCGACTTCCTTACCCTGCAGGGACTAAAACTTTTAGTAACACAGTTCCCAGCCAGGACTCTTTGCAATGACTCTTCTCTCCCTCCAACTGCTCCATTCTGATGGCATGTGTTTCCAAGCTTCATTCTCCCAATTGGTGCCGCCCCACCTATACTGTGCTGCTCCTCCCTGACCACCAAGCAAGCAAAGGCTTCTGGGATACTGGGACTCTGCTGGCCCACTGCAGCGCCATCACTCTGCTTGACAAAACCATTTTAGGCAGCAGGTAAGTAAGTGGTTGGAGAGGTACATTGGGTTTCTGAGAGGCACCAGTCTAGCTAAGGCAGAAATAGGCTCTAACTTAATAATCTGCTCATCACACACAGTAAGAGACACCCTGACTTATTCAAAGACACCGTGGGCGGTGCAGAGGATGAATAAGCATGATTCACTGCCACTCTGGCACCCGGGGCACGAAGAATAATAAAACCCAAAGAATTGTAGCCGCCTGAGTAGTAAATTAAGAGATCCAGGGCTCAGCTAGACTCTAGATATCAATGTTACCATGGCAATAAAGGGCCCCAGCCTTCAGCAGCTATTACAGAGCAGGCATCTAATAGGCTAGTCTATGTCACAGCCAAAGCCCAAGGGGCTAGCAAAGAAGACCAATTAGCATATCCATTCATTAGGGGCCTCTGCACACTTCTCTTAATTCCAATTAGTTGTTCGTTTGAACCAATGTCTCTTGCCTGCATTATACTCATTAGTGCCTTTTAGCCACTAGAAATAGGTTTGAATCTCCACAACGACCTAACAATTTCCCAAGCTTTCATTTTTCCCCTAGGGGTCTAGGCTTATACAGTCACAAACCCATGGCCCTCAGTCCTTTGAAATGAAAGCCTCTCTCACTGTACAACTGTACTGGACAGATGGAAACTCTGCTCAGGAATGTGATGCGCTAAGGGTTCTTCCTGGAACCCAGTGAAGTAGGGATCTGGGGCCATTATCTGGACCTTTCAGGTCAAGGAAACTCTCTGGCCTTAGCCAGTGAGCCTGCTGGCTATGCCTGCTGGCCACTACTCAGAGGCTAGCTATTCGGGAGGGGGAATTTTGGGCACTGGGGACCAGACTGGCATCATCAAAGTCAGGCAGTAACTGTTTCAGCTTGAAGTCCTGCCCCTTCAAGGTCCAGCCCAAACCCCACCTTTTCCGGGAAGCCTTCTCTGATTATTGCAGCCCTAAGCGAATTCTCCCTCCTCCATGTACTTCAAAAATGACATTCTGTGCTGAGCAGCATACATGGGCAACCAAAGGCCCTAGCTTGGCCTGGAGCTTCCTTACCCAGTGACCTCACAGTCCGCAGGTCACTAATCTTGGAAGGGACTGGGGTTCTAGAGAGTATTCAACATTACTTGGGTGACTCCAATGGCAAACAACTCTTAAGCTCCACTGCACATGACCTCCCAGAGTCCCTGAAGACCTAACCAGTCCTTGATATGGAAAGTACACAACTGCTCTTTGACGGCTCTGGGACACATTGTGGCCACCCCACAACCTACACAATTGTGGAAATGGCCCACAAGAACAGATGCCATAAACTAGTCCATCTCATGGTAAAGGCAGAGATTATCTGAAGGATGCTACCATATCTTCCTCCCTTTGGGAACGGGAGGACCCAGTCCATAAGATTTTTTCTGTTCCTAGTTAGTTACCATTGTCAGCAACTCTGTGGTTTCATCACAGCAGGCACTCAGGACAAGGGGCTTATAGAAGCAGTTGCTAAAACCTGTGTCCAAGAAATGAGCATGTGGTTTTCTAGACTTTAATAATGTGCCCCTGAATCTGCTGTTATATTCAAAGCCTCTCCTTTCTCTCTCCCCTTGTCCCTTTGTAGCCACTGCTTCGTTTGCATCCCCATTAGCCACTTGTGGCTCCATTCTGCTAGACTGTTAAGCATATTGCTTTTTTTTTTTTCTTTTTTCAAATTTGGCAGGAATCATTTCCCTTCTAACTAGCGTTTTGAGTGTAAACTCATACAGATTTCTGTCTTCCACATCCTATGGGATTTGGTTATTTTACCCCACCCAACAGCTGGCATTCCAGAACACAGCCTGGGCTATAGCTGAAATACATGGCAAATGTCTTAAGTATATATCAAACCTCCAATTACCCAGAATGCTTAGGAATGGAAGATTCTAGAGAATGGAGTATTTTGTTACCTAAAGTCATGTCACTCCTAACTCCCTTTTGTCCCCCTACTCTCAGTTTTTGAAATGTTGTAAAATGACTGTACTCTCTTTTCAGCCTTAGACCAGTTAGCCTAGCCGTTGTTTGGTTTTGAGGCTTCCAAGGGCCTGGGGATTCTCATACTTAATATAAGGAATCACACAAAAGACTGGCCTGGAGAAGGTGTAGAAGGTAGAGATCAACATCTACTGAGACCAGAGACCATATTATCCCCTAGAATATATTTTGCTTTTAATAAAATGCAAAAAGAAGAATAAGTTTCTCTTTTTTTGTAAGTGGCCTTTTTCTCTTCAGAGAAGGATATGGGAAGAGACACTGTTAAGGAAGAGTTCTGATTAGTAACATTACAGTGAAAGGAATTCTTATTTAAAATTAACTGCAATTGAAACCATTTTCATCAGAATAGCCTTGAATTGGAGTTATGACTAAATCTATCTAAGCTATTGTGCTGTTTTTCTCAGTAATGAATGTGCCCAGAATGTCAGTATCTGCAACATTCTCAGCCACTTGAGTATAATGGGGCTTGATTTGTGAAGGAAGGATCGCAAACTCCACCCAGGCCTTTTAACCACCCAGGCTCCAGTGGGGTGGACTCCAAACAGACCAAAAATGCTATACAATAGTCTTAACTGTTTCTTCTAATTTTTCCTTTCTTTGGATCCCATGTTGGTTTCAGGAGTTATATATGTCTGGGAAACTGACACTGCAAAGTTCTGGCTTGTTCCCTGCCCTGATGCTAAGGGATAAATATAGATCTCAACCACTACAGAAATTTGGCCAGGATTTGGAGGGGTGTGTGTATGAGGGGCAGTGACTGATGGGGCCACTTTGACATGTGGGCTAGAAAAAGGCTTCCTTATGTCTAAGACCCTCTTTGGGGCAGTGAAGAATGAAGTAGGAGCCTGGCTTCTAAAATCAGAAAGAATAATCCACATTTTAAGAAGCTCATGGATTGACACAAATAAGAAATATTGTAGGTGGCTTAGAGTGTGTGCGGGGGTAGGGGGAGAGAGCAAGGGGAATCTTTCCTGACATCCTAGATCCTTTTGCATGAGATCAGCCTTATGAAAAAGGCAAGTTATTCTTGGCCGTCTCCCCTCACCCCCAACTCCCACCCACACCCACCCCCTGCATGCACTGATATCCAACTCTCAATTGAGAAGAACATGACTTAAGATTTCCATTGGGCCCATCATATCTCAAGCACTGGAGAAAGACAAGGGGTGGAAAGACACATAAAGGGGGGCGGGGCGGGGGGTGAGTTGCTCATCCTCGTGACCCAGAATATCTCCCCCTCCTTGTAATGATGAGCTTGCTTTTCCATAAGGGCTTTCCCTTGATTCAGGGAAGGGGCCAACCAATGAGAGAGGGACATGTTAGATTATTTTGGGGAAGGGCTCATGCCAGGAGGGTTCACTTTTACCAGGCGCCAAGTGTCCCCAGCAACCAGTGTCTCCTGTACCAGCAGAAGCTGCAGAACTCTCACCCGATTGCCTGCCTCTGCTGCGTCTTTGCCCACTGAACAGTCATGAGAAGGCAACTCCGGTCCAGAAGGGCTCCATCCTTTCCTTACAGTTATCGCTACAGACTCGTGAGTGCCGGAGAGCAGAATATTTTGCTGCCCCCCACCGCTTTTTCTAATGGGGTTGGTTGGGGGCTGTGCAGACCTTGGTTTACTGCTGCCTCTCTTTGGGATGGGCATAAACAGCGAAGTTTAGGGAAACCCAGGGTTTCAAAAAGGAGCAGTGACTCCCAGCACCCCCGGGTACCCTAAATTGTTGGATAAAAGGAGGAAGCCCCTCTTCCTATGAAACAAAGATAAGGGAAGGAGAAGATAACAGAGAATAACGGGCTTATAAAATCTTTTCTTGGGAGTATAGAATTTTCACAGACCTTTTGGGGTATAAAAATTTAATTCTAATAGCAAGAAATTTAGCCAAGAGGGAAGGAAAGAGGAAGAGGAAATGAAAGGCACTGCCTACCCAGCTGTCTCAGTACCCTTGGGTGGTAGCTTCTTAGAGTCCAGCTGCTCTCTTTCTAAAGTAGAAATTCCAAACTATAGCTAAAATCATAGAATCCCCAATAGGAGCTGGGAGGAATCCTAGACAATTTATCTCCAGAACCCCTCATTATGTAAAGGAGGCTACTGTGGCTCAGAGCACAGGAGTGACTTGCAAGTTAGTGGAGGAGCCAAAGTGAAAATGCAATATCCTCTCTTCTAATCTTGTGCTCTTTCCATTGTATTTGCAGTATGCATCTTCCAAACCCCCGATCTGCCACTACCCATTTCCATCCGGATTGCCACGCCACACTGCCCAACATACAGACACATATACATTGTTTTGGTCTCACCGTTTATCTCCAGGGTGTATTACAAATTATTTGATCCAAAAGTTTCTTTGCATTTATTTTGCTATAAGACATTAATGTATGCCAAACGCAGTACTTTTTGGGGAGAGGATTTTGAAATGTTCCCCAGAGAGGATTGTGATCTGAGCCCCAGGAGGAAACAAAGTCTAAGCCATTTTTCTTTGGGTATGGCCACTTATGTAACCAGGGAATTAAGTGAAAACTGTCAACAGCCCGCAGAAGAAAACACACATTATTCTAAGTTCCTATCAACCTACAGAGGGCTTCTCTTAGCTTTTTAGCCACAATTCGAAGAATTATTTAACTTCCCCCAAAGTTTCTTCCAGCTCTCAGAACAGTTACAATCTGCAGGGGTATAAAACTATTTCTTACTTGCCTTCTTTTCTACGTAATCTTGCTAAAATGTTGTGTATAATTTCAGTTATTTGTCAAGAGGCTTGGATTTTAAATGCATCAGGGGATCTTGATCCTTATAATACTTGATCAAATTTAAAAAGAAATTAAGGCAATCCTGTGCTAATTTCTCTTTTAAAATTAACCAGCCATTCAAATGTTTATGGTGTATTACTGCTCAATGCAGGGCACAAATTTAAAATTTATCCTTTGGGTCATACTGTTCATTTATATATTTGTTTATATGTTTATATATTTAGATTGCTCAAAATGGAGCCACCCTCTGTTCTTCAGACTCTTCTCTTTTAGGGAAACCTGATGACCCCATCGCACACCCACTACCATACCCCAGCACACTCACACACAGTATCACATGAGGGTAGTGCCACTTTAGGAAAGTGACAAAACAGAATCTTAGGGATAAGCATTCTCATTACCAAAGGATTTTCTATTGGATTTCATTAAATAGTTTCAAAAAGATACATTTTACATTTAATTAATGAGGATCTTTTGGGGAAGGCCTCTCTTGCACAGTGTGACCATCTCCTTTACCTGGAAGCAGAGGAGAGGAGAAAAGATTTGAGGTTCCTAAAGCAAAGCTCAGGAACCTCTCACAGCCTCTCGGGTGTGAGAGCTGTAAGGGCAAATTAGCCGTTAGAAGATTAATTCTTCTCAGGAGGGTAAAGCTTTAATGACAAGCCATCTGTAATGGGATTATCATGAGAGCCCATATCTACAAATAAGATCAGGCTGAGGCCTAGACCAGCTGCCTCCTCTGTGGAAGGTTGAAGGCAGGCATCGTAACAAGGAGAGAAAAGAAAATTGTTCAGGAAATGTAAAGGGAATATATATTTCTCCTCAATGAAGTGTTATACTTCAAATTCACTGAGATTCTCGGGTGCAGTAGATTCTCTGGGGACCGTGATTGCTACCCACTGTGATATACATGACAGCTCAGTTAGGGTGACAATCTCTGTGAAAGCATTCCTGCAGAGTCTTGCATCAGGAATTTTAAGTCAGGCAGGTATCACTGATATTTGGTTAGGACATACTGGGTCAGCTTTACACTGTGGAGGGCCATCGAGAGGCTAGAAAATATGGACTCTCCCTCTGGGTGCTCAAAATGTAGTTTGGGAGTTTAAATGTGTACATAGGTTCACACACAAGTGAAAGATATTAAGAACATGCATTAATCCATTCAACATTGAGTGATGGATGAAGTTTATTTTCCTAAGCCTTACACTGTGAGCCTATGTCAGTCAGCCATCCTTGATTATAATAAACACCTAAAATCTTTTTCTGTGTGTTTTTTTGAGACAATGTTTCACTCTGTCACCCAGGCTGGAGTACAGTGGCATGATCACAGCTCACTGCAGTCTTGACCTCCCAGGCTCAAGCAATCCTCCTGCCTCAGCCTCCTGAGTAGCTAGGACTACAGGTGCATGCCACCATGTCTGGTTAATTTTTTTAATTTTGTAGAGACAGGGTCTTGCTATGTTGCCTAGGCTGTCCTTAAACTCCTGAGTTCAAATGATCCTCCTTTCTTGGCCTCCCAAAATGTTGGGATTATAGGCGTGAGCCCTAAAATCCTTTAGGAACACAGAACCTAAAGCATTGTGTTTCATTAATCTGCTAAGCTACCTCTAGGCACTTGTGCTTAATGTGATAGAGGAGAAATATCATTGTCCAGGGTATCAAGAGACACAGGTTCCAAGACTGTCAACTCTATCATGAATTTACTGCATGGCTTTGGCTAGATCCTGTCCCATCTCTGGGCCTCAGATGGATAAGTAAATCTTGAAGGTCCCTGTCAGTTCTGATGTGATATTTTATATAGAGCTGTACATTGGAACAAATTAGAGAGCAATTCAAGAGGGCTTATAATCAAGAGCTAGATAGTGCTGTGCAGACCGAATAGAGCTGAGCCTTGTCATTCTGTATCACTTTTACTAATTCTGAGCAATCCAATTTGCTGAGCCCTCCTCCCCCCAGCAAAGGCAGCATTTTCAGCCGAGTGCCCTCTAAATGGCCTTTGAGGAATCAGGCAGGGAGGGAGCAGCACAGAGCCCCTGGTCTCTAGTGTTTGACACATCCTACCCCAACAGGTGCACAGCCCTGCAACTCTTCTGACTTGGACAGCAGAGAAGGGAGGGCAGCCTCATTTTCTGCTGCTGCAATAAGCCTTGGCAAACCCCCAAAGAGCAAAGATACAATTCTCCGGCCTGTGGCTGGGAGGTATTTGAAACACCACTTTGGTGAAGTCTAGGATTCTCTCTCTCCCTCTCTCTTTTTCAGTTTAATTTTCTTAGAATCACTCAGAGAAGATTACAGTCTCAAATCTCAAGTAATGGCTGCAATCAGTCAATCAACAAATATGTGCTGAGTATGTATTACGTGCCCAGCTTTTTGCCTAAGGCATAGAGGGGGGACTAAGGAAGCCTGGGGTTCCAGCTCTCAGATGGTCTTTCCAACCAATTTAAGGTAGGAAGAAATTCAAACTAGGGCAATAATCAGAGAAGCAGTTAATAACTTCCCATCTATTGTTTCTGTTGGGAAGGAAGGCTAAGTTTTGAGGAGGGGTACAGTAGTTGGCCTCTCGTCCTGATGTCCATCCCGGGCTATTTTTAGACACAACTTAAAATGGTGAAGTTGAGCAGCTGAATGTGTATGGGGTGTTAGGATAAAGCTGACTTGGACTGAAAGTTTGCCATCACGGACACAATGTCTAAGACTATTCCACCCTCTTCCTGTGTGAGCTCACCTCTGCTCTGATAGGCCAAGGTTAAGTGGGAGGTCAAGGCCCAGAACACAGTAGTGATATGAACAGTCCTTGGAGAAGAGCCCAAATGCCTGAAGCTGAGAATAAAACTTGCACCTCTATGGAAAGAATACTGAGTCAAAATGGGTCATAGAAAGGATATTTCCTCCAAAAGAACAGAGAGAAAGAAAATCCACCTCTTGTAACAACATGTATGTTTATGGGGAAGTGGAAATTTGAAGCATCTCCAAATATTGAGTCATTTCAATTTATTTTTGGCTGGTGGGATGCACCATTGTACATTTTTTTTCCAAAAAGGATGTTATATTTTGTCACTGCTCCAGGATGATCCGGATGAAGTGAACCAGAACTACTTAGCAGATGAAGAGGAGGAAGCAGAAGAAGAGGCACAGGTGACAGTGGTGCCCAAGTCAGAGGAGGAGGAAGAGGAGGAGAAAGAAGAGGAGGAAGAGGAGGAAAAGGAGGAGGAAGAGGGTCAGGGTCAGCCAACAGGCAATGCCTGGTGGCAGAAATTGCAGATCATGAACGAATACCTGTGGGATCCAGAGAGAAGGATGTTTCTGGCCCGAACAGGTCAGAGTTGGAGTAAGTCCCAATAGTTCCAATGCCAAAGTCTGGTGTCCTTTGCTTTTGGTGTGGTGTCCAGGGCTCCTTTACCATACGCTGGATGGGCTTGTCTGTGAACTTCTCTTTGCACTTCATGTAAAGGCATCAATGCCTAGGGAAATGCCTAGACTGTGGACAGATTCCATCAGAACAAACTCCAAATGGATGAACAAACTTGACTGTGTAACTGAAACTCACTGGGCTCAACATCAGTTGCAATGCAGAGAGACAGTGAGAATGAATTGAAAAAGCACATGACTTTTTAAAGTCCCAGTCCTGTCACTTTCTATTCATGTGACCTTGGACTCATCATTTCCCCTCTCTGAGTCTCAGTTTCCTCACCTGCCAAATGAGGAAAACAATCCCTGACTTGCTTCTCTCACAGGATCAGAGTGAGGCTCCAATTAGATGTTAAAACTGTAAAGTTGAAAGAACTATGCAGAAGACTTCTTGTAAGATATGAGACTCAAATGCATGCTAACCTGACCAAGTGTTTTTATGAGGCCTTATCACCTGGTAATGTCAGAGGAGAGCCAGGAGGCGTGTCCCTGGCCCCAGTTTGTGGGTGTCTTCCTCTGCTATGATAGACATGTTTTATCAATGGCAGAATTATATTCCTTAGCATTTCCTCTTTGCATCATATGCTGCCATCATTTTTACTCCACAACTTCCCCATCACTCCCCTCCTACAGTCTTACCCACCTCTTAAACTATTAATGCTGAGCCTTCTCCTCAGGAGATTTAGCCAGTGGTAAAATTCACACTTGCCACAGTCTCTGCACAGCCCAGAAAAAGAGCAGCTGCTGGTTTGGAACTCAGTCAATCCACAGAAGAAAAAAAATAGAGGATGCCAAGGATGAAATAACAGTCCCCTAGTGCCAAGGGTCTAGGTTGCTGAAGTTGATGGCCATGTCTTCTAAAGGCCCCTTGGCTAAGAATTCTTTCCCTCATAGTTAATGTTGCTAATTCAGCTCAGTGAAGGTGAAACAGTCAGCTCTGTTTCCTGGAATTAGGAATAGCAGGTGTGGGACTCTCATCTCCCTTCGCCCTTCCCCAATTCCCAGCCCCACCCCTGACCATCCCACAAACTCTCAACTGGAACAAATGTACCATTTAAGGAACATTCCGACATTCTGGAAGCTGCAGACAAATATTGGACACTCACTGGGGCTCCAAGGGTGCACAGCTGTTTCTCCCTTGCCTAAAGAGGACTGGAAAAACAAGCCTTGTGAAATGCAAGTGTGATTCTGGGAGGGGGAGCCTAAACAGCCAGCCATTAGAACTTCACCAGATGAGCTGATCCAAATTGCTTCTGTGAAAGACAATACATAGGCCAATAAGTGGGGATGAGGGAGGAAGGTTCAAGTGCCCGGAGAAGATATGGTAATAGTGACACTGCGTGATAGGCCATAGCCAGACCTCTGAGTAGCAGGTCTAAGTAGAGCCCAGGAATTCTTCTATTGGGCTACCCTGGGGAAAGGGCAAATGGTAATGTTAATGCTTCAGCCATAGAGCACATGCCTTGCTGTCTTCTTTCCTGAGAACAAGGTGCCCACTTGTGCACTTACTAATGCTGTCCCAACTTGGACATCAACCTGCCCAACATATTTACCAGGCCTATGAATATAATCTGGGCCTTTTCTTTGGTACCTGCACATCCCTATTCTTGGAAACTCTATGTTATTTTACTGGATACCAACAAGAATCATACAAGGTAGTAATATTATTATCCCCATTTTACAGATGCAGAAACTGAGGCTTAGAGAGGGTAAGTAACTTGCCTATAGTCACATAGTTACTAAGTGGCAGTGCTGGGATTTCAAACCCTGGTTGGATGAACACCAGAGTTCATTCTTTTGCCAGAACACTGCCCCATTTCATGAACTCTAACAACGAACAAGGCCCTGATGTGTAGGGCCTCAGGACCTGATAGGGTGTTTTAGTGGGAGAAATGAAGAGTTGGGAGCATGGTTACTCAGTGGTCTGTCCAAGCCTGGGTAGGGCATTGAGGAAAGAACCCTAGAGTACCTGGAGGAAAGACCCAAGTAATACTTGGACATCCAGGGCAGAAAGTGTCAGAGGGATCAATGGGTTCAGATGGGGACTGTGCTTGGTTTTGCCTGGGGGTGGCTGAGCTAACTATCTCAGTCTGTGATTACCTATCATTAACTCTAGGGCACCCACTCCTGGGTGAGGCTAAGGGGACTTATTGCTAGTGTCATTCTCCTATCTACAACTTCCTGGCCACACATCCTGGGAAAAAAGGAAGATATCTCCAAAGGAATGTACCTGTGTTCCATTGCTTTCCCTTCATCCATGAAATTGAGTCTTTTGATCTCCATGGATGGCTCTAGCTGTTGATCCATTCCCAGGATGGGCATGGGGTAAAGGAATGGAGGCAGAAACACAGGGCAAATCCCATTAGATAGCCAGTGGGCAGCAGCCAAGTATCACAGGCACACAGGTGCTGTCGTTTATTCTCCAGGGACTCCAACTGAATCAATGTGTTCATGTTCCAGTTCTGCTTTAGTTCATCTTAATAAAATAAAAAGGGTCAGTTCCATTTCCAGTCAGATTACTATGGGTTTTTTCTCCGTTCCACAATACCTTTTTTGGTTAATTTTATTTGGTTCATGGTTCAATTTTAAAATTAATATTTGGATTCAGTTTGGGGTACAGCAAAGTTAAGTGGTTTGTTCCAGTTTCTGGTTCATAATTCAGTTCAAATCTGTAGGTCCAACATCATGTCATTGCTGTGAACAGAGCCAAACGTTGTTGCCTGAGAGAGCCCCAAGGAGGGCTTGAAAACAGTTTCTCAGCAGCAATCTCAAGCTCATTAACCTCACTCATTGTTGCCTAATCCTGGGACAAACCTAGTCCTAATACAGCCCAAAGAGGGAAAATTCACACAACTATGCTTCTGGTCCTACAGCACTAATAATAATGTTAATAATAACCGATGATGACTGCCACTTATGGTGCATGTAGTATTCGCCAGGCTCTGTGCTATGCTATTTATATGCATTATTCAATGCTAAGAAGTAAGTACCATTATTGTACAGACAAGGAAATTGAGGCCCAGAGAGGTGAACAGCATGTCCAAGATTAAACAGCTTGAAAGTGGTACAGTCAGGATAGGATGTAAGGAAAGACTGAATTTCAGATATTGTTAGGGATATAGATAAGAATCTGAGGTAAGTGCTGTTTTTATCCCCATCTTACCTGTAAGGAATTGGAGGTGCAAGGAAGTTCTATAACTTGCCAAAGTTCACAGGCAAGTGTCAGTGATTAGGTACCGTTTCCTTCTTTTCCCTTCCCCACCCTGTGTTAGTGTTCTTTTTGAAAAGCAGAGCCATTTTATTCATCTTTGATAAAGATGAATAAAATTTGAAATAAGCAGGGCAAAACCTCACTTTGCCTTGACCGGAGGCAAGTCCAGTGGAAATTCATCAAAAGTTTGAATTATAGACTATGTGGAAAGAAATGCTGTTTTCATCACTTGCAATTACCTATAATTATTGGAACCAAGCTGCTAGGACTCTTCAGGGCATCCACTTTAATGAATAGCAAAGAATGATTTGTACTTAGGACATCAACTGTTGCCCAGAGGACTCTCAAGCAATTTGCCCTCTGCAGTACTTTAAACTCTACTCCACTGTATTCTTGTTCATGGCCATCATTTGCTCAGCAAGCCCTTCCATCGGAGATGTTGTAAAGGTAAACTGCAATTAGACCCCTGACACAATCCTCACTGACTCCAAACTGGTGAAATCTGAATAAGCAAGGACATACTGAATCTGGGGAATTTTTTTAAAGAGCCATTTTGTGGTTGGGTTGGTTCTGGTTCATGAGTCCAAGCAGGGAGGAAGGGCTTGTTGGCAAGCACTGACCACTCTCATCTATGATTACTCTGCAGGCCTGATCTTACTCATTTACTTCTTCTTCTATGCCTCCTTGGCTGCTGTGATCACCCTCTGCATGTACACACTATTTCTGACCATCAGTCCCTATATACCAACCTTCACGGAGCGGGTAAAGCCTCCTGGTGAGTGTGCCCAGATGCCCTGTGTTGTCAGAACTTGCTGGACAGAAATATGCTTGCACAGCATGTTCAGCCTCAATTAACTTTGGCTCTTCCTGGTAATGACTTAGAGATTCAATTATTAGGAGGAAAAGTAAAATGGTACTTGGCAAATTATGGTTCTTTTTATTTTGATTGCCTGGGGGGAAATGGTTTCATGGGAATCAATACAAAAAAAATTATCCCAAGAATGGGTTAATATATCCAAGACCTGTTTTCATTGCCAGGCGTTATGATCAGACCCTTCGCCCATAGCCTTAACTTCAACTTCAACGTTTCTGAACCCGACACTTGGCAGCATTATGTGATTAGTCTAAATGGCTTTCTCCAGGGTAAGTAAGTTCCTCTGAATAGTGGAAAGTTCTTTTGAAAGGTGGTGGGTGGGAATCCAAAATTCAAAATTCACCTGGCCCAGGAATCCCAGTCTTACTAACCCCAACTCGTCATGGTCTGTCCTTACTTTGCATCCCCCTTAGCACCTGTAGCTACAATCAGAATTGCTCTGGTGTGTGACTGCATGTTGTCTTGAAAGCATACAAGTCAATTTTCCAGCAAGATAAGCTCTTTGAGGCAGAGAACATTTTTCTTTTCTTGAACATGATACAGCACCCAGTTAAGTCCTGAACATATCCAGATGGCTCAATAATGATCATTTATAGAAGATAATTCTGGGGGGAGATAGTGGTGGGAAAAGAAGAATGTTCTTCAGAGCTGGAAGCTTCCTGTCTTCTAAACTTTCTCAAGATAAAAGACGTCATTTCTTGGAGATGGGCTAACTTGAAGGGAGAGGGCAAGTGTCTTTATTTTATTTATTTTATTTGAGACGGAGTCTCACACTGTTACCCAGGCTGGAGTGCAGTGGTGTGATCTCTGCTCACTGCAACCTCCACCTCCCAGGTTCAAGCGATTATCCTGCCTCAGCCTCCTGAGTAGCTGGGGCTACATGTGCATGCCATCACGCCCTGCTAATTTTTTGTATTCTTAGTAGAGACGGGGTTTCACCATGGTAGCCAGGATGGTCTCGATCTCCTGACCTCATGATCCGCCTGCCTTGGCCTCCCAAAGTGCTGGGATTACAGGCATGATTCGCTGCGCCTAGCCAAGTGTCTTTATTTAACAGCATTCCAGAAAGGAGTTAGAGGAAGAATCTCTGGGTGGCAGTCGCTCCAACATTCTGATCCCAAATATTTTCGAGGTGCCTATCTCTATAGTGTCATTAGATAAATTTTCAGGGGCAAATGAATGGCTTTGTGGGAGACCTTTTCACAAGGTAATATCTGAGGTAGCAGCTTGGTTAAGGTTAACAGAGCACACAGGTTCTTTATGCAGCTATCAAAGAGGAGCTCCAGTGGGGTTTGCATTTCTGCACCTAATCTTTGTGGGGAAAAAACGCCAGTCATTCTGGCTTGGTTGTCCTGGCCTGGTTGAAGTGGGGTTGATCCATTCTAGGGGCAGCTACTATTACAACATGTGCACTGAATTAGGAGAACAATCTCTTGTCATGTGCTAGGAAGTGTTATTTAAATACATAAATTTGGTCATTTAACTTTAACTCTGCATAATAAAGTTGATCATCCTCATTTTATAAATGAGGAAACTGAGACTCAGAAAGGGGGAGTAACTTGATCAAAGACTCTGGCAGCAGAACCAGTGTTTGAATCCACATTTCACGTTCTTGACACTCTTCGCTGCTCTAAGTGTTATAACGGGACCAACAACATGGGCATCTCCTGGGAGTTTGTTAGAAAGGCAAAATCTCAGACCACATTCTAGACCTGCTGAATCAAAATCTGCATTTTTAAAAAATTCACAGGTGATTTGCAGGAAATTTAAAGTTTGAGAAATGCTGCTTTTCATAATTCTACACTGCTGTCATATGACCAAGAGTTAGAAACTCAGCTTTATATCAGTAAGGCTCAGTGTTATTTTGGGTAAGTCTGAGTTTCAGATTCCTTACCTGTGAAATGAGGGGAGATGGGATCTGAGTCCATGTAGTTCTATTTTTAGCCACAGAAATGTTTTAGGCATCATGGCCAGCACAGTATCTTCTTTTGTTTCAGAATGCTTGCAAGTGATTGCAAATATATTGCCGGATTCCCTGCTGAGAAAATCCCTCCAAGAAGCTAGTAGACAGAGAAATACCAGTTCTGACCTGATGATGATGGAAGCAGGAAATGTTAGGAAAAGCACTAGTTTTTCAGTTTCTAAGAGTAGATAATGTGTCCTGCTAAAAAGAAGCACATCTCTGAAATAGACATCCCAGAGTATCACTTTCACTCCCATGAGGACTGGGATTTTGCAATAAGGGTCATGTCCATGTCACATTATTTTTAATGGAACTACCGCAAGAGAAACAATGAGCACATGACTGCAGCCTCTATTTAGAAAGTTATTTGAGTATAGTTCTTGTTCTAAAAAATTAAAACAAAGCCTTGAATTAAATGTAGCTTTGTCAAAGAAAAAATAAAGGCATAGCCATAATTGGATAGATTTAAAATTCCCAGTTGCCAATTAATAATATCAAACCCAAGTCACAACCTGTGGGTTTGATATTATTAGATGAGAATTCAGCAGTACATTTTGAGTTTTACCTCTGGTAGATCATAGGTGCAAAATCTCCTCTGAAATACTGAGCTACTTTGAACATTAATACATAGGGACTGAGTCTAACAGGACTAACTGGGCTGCATCATTTAGAATCAAATTGGAAATAATGCAGTAATTTCTAAAGCCCAGTTTTATGTATGAAATTTGGCAGCCCAAAGAGTTACCTCATGGCCGGGCGCAGTGGCTCAAGCCTGTAATCCCAGCACTTTGGGAGGCCGAGACGGATGGATCACGAGGTCAGGAGATCGAGACCATCCTGGCTAACACGGTGAAACCCCGTCTCTACTAAAAAAAATACAAAAAACTAGCCGGACGAGGTGGCGGGCACCTGTATGGCGTGAACCCAGGAGGCGGAGCTTGCAGTGAGCTGAGATCGGGCCACTGCACTCCAGCCTGGGCGACAGAGCGAGACTCCGTCTCAAAAAAAAAAAAAAAAAAAAAGAGTTACCTCACAAATAGCCTCTTTAAGCTTGCTCCCTGATGTATGTATCCTTTGACACATGTTACATTCCATCCAATGTAAAGGACATTAACCCTGAATGTCTCAGGCCTCAGTAGACAAGATCTCATGCCCTCATCATCCCCGTAGAGACCCTGTGGTTGTCATCGGTTTCTATCTTTTAACTTATGCTTCTATTTTGCAGTGCTAACTTCCTTCTGTAAAGGATGAAGAGCTGGCTTATTCCCTGCCCTGCCTCCTCCTCTGCCTCTCCTTCCTACTCCACCTCCTTCTCCTCCTCTTCCTCTTCTTCCACTTTCCTTCTGTCTCACAACTCATACTTCTCACTCTCTTACAATCAGGTGCCTCTCACTGACTTCAAAGGGAGACATTGTAACTGCCCAGCGGGTTCACCTTGCCCACTGCCTAGACGGAGCTGATTTATCAAGACAGGGGTATTGCAATAGAGAAAGAGTAATTCATGCTCAGCCTGCTGTGCAGGAGACTGGAGTTTTATTATTACCCAAATCAGTCTCCCCAGGACTATTTCTCTATTGCAATCAAATCCATGTACATTGGGTGGGCAGTGCCCCGCCAGTAAAGACAGTACCAGAGTTGGTCCCCAGCCCAAGAGAACTAGGTGGCTGCTTGGGCTGGCCTCTGGATCCATTGCCAACTGAGGGGGTCGGGGGGAGGGCTACTGAACCATGAGCAGGTAGCCATAAGGGCAATCCCAAAAGACCACCCAAATTTGTAACCGCCCAATGGGTTCACCTTGTTTCCTAAGTGAAGTTAAGGAAATTTAACCCAGCAACTTAGCTTCCTTATATATACACCATACCCTGAATATTTCATTCCCTCTTCCAAAATCTACCAACTATGTGCCTATTTCTCTCTCAGAAGTAGAAGGGACAGCCTTCCAAGTTTACAGTTTATCATATCTGAAAAGAAATGGTGGAAAATAGAGAAAAATTATAAAGTGACTAACATAGGACCCAGAGATGGATATCCAGAAGTTCCATGGGAATGAAAAGCAAGGGAACAGGCAATCAAACTGGGCTGAAGTGACTAGTCAGGAAGACTTTCTAGAGGGATGGCTGCCGATGAAGGCTGTTGGGTACCTGATGCCAGGTCACAGGGAGACTGAGTGGGCTTTCAGAGGCATACAAACAAGCTGGAGAAAGGAAATTTGGGAGGGAGGACTACTGAACGCATGGCCTTCCCCTGTAGCACCTGTCTAACATAACCCGTTGCCACTCACACATGCTTTAGGTTATAATGACAGTCTTCAAGAGGAAATGAATGTAGACTGTCCCCCGGGGCAGTACTTCATCCAAGATGGCAATGAGGATGAGGACAAGAAGGCCTGCCAATTTAAACGCTCCTTCCTAAAGAACTGCTCTGGTCTGGAGGACCCAACTTTTGGATACTCTACTGGACAGCCCTGCATCCTTCTAAAGATGAACCGGGTATATTGGCTTTTGATATCTGGTGGTGATAAGTGAATGAACTAGATAGGAGGGCTCTGGCCACTCCATTTGTCTTGGGCTCTGTCTTCATACACCACAGGTTTGGTCATTTTTACTGACAGCATCAGAAATACAAATAACCAGATAAGCCTATCAGTTTCTTCTCCCCTCCCCCCAGCACTTCCTGTGGCCATTCTTCTCCTTCACGCCCAAACCTGCTGCTTGATGGCCTTTGTCAAGAATGGGGTCCTAGTCAAGTGCAGTGGCTCAAGTTTATAATCCAAGCTACTTGGGAGGCTGAGGAAGGAGGATTGCTTGAGCTTAGGAGTTCAAGTTTAACTTGGACAACATAGTGAGACCTCATCTTTAATTTTTTAAAAAGTATTTTAAATAAGGAATCGAATACTGAGCTGTTTGAAACAGGGGATTGACATGAGGGTGGCATGGGGGACAGTTCTTACATCATAAAAATGCATTTTTCTTCCATCCTGTCATGACTTAGGTGTGGCAGAGCGTTATCAGTCACACCCCTCTTGAAATTAGAAAGTTCTTTACATCTTTAGAGTTGACTTGCTGAAGTTTCCCCTTGTGTGTAAATATCAGGCATAAATACAACACGGAGTAAGTTGAGCTGCTTAGCTCTAAAGATGTTTTGCATTTTTTGCTTTTTGTAACATTTCTGAGAAGGCGAAATAGATGAAGTATATGCCTGAGGAAGGATGATTGGGAGGAGGGATAGAAAAGCCCCAATTTTTACTGTCAAATATGTTTTGTTAAAAAAAAAAAAACCACTGAGTTTCTTTTGATAGGTTGTAGGCTTTCGTCCTGAGCTTGGAGATCCTGTGAAGGTTTCCTGCAAAGTCCAGGTAAAGAGACCTTTTGAGTAAGCATTGTTAGCACATTTGTTTCACGCAAAAAGGTAGTCCATCCCTTTCAAGGACTTATACATGGATGGTAGGCTAAGGAAAAGGTTAATCTTTTCATAACTATACCTCTCTTTAGTTCCTTCAGGTTTTCCTCTTTCCAGAAAGCATTCAACTCATGTGTGTTTGTGTGTATAGTGTATGTGTGTGTGTGTCAGTCAGTGTGTCATGGTTAATACTTGTGAAAACCAAAGAATGAACCTCAGCTAGGGGCCACAGCGGGGAACAACAGTGTGCCAAGTCATTAATTGAGATTCTGTGTACACTTTTGCTTAGCTCTAATTACTTGTTTCTTTGAACTAAACAAACAGCTTTCATTAGAGTCATTAGTTTCCAGATTTTAAAACTGAATTTCACATTTTGCAGCAATGACCAGTGGTACTGGGTGTTGCAATCACAAATGACTATAAGGGAAGTATAAACAGAACTCGATTAATATGCTAATTAACTGTCCTTCGAGGGACCATTAACTTATATCTCATCTGTACCAATTAGCTCCCTTGTAGGAAAAAGCCCTTAGATCTTGGGTTTACTTCTTAAACAAGCAGTAGCTTTCTCCTATTCTGTGACATCAACTGCACCCCCAGACCTGGATAGTTGTCTTGCAAATACTTGAGACCTGGTAATCCCATTCTCAGTAGGAGAAATACAGTTGAAAACTTCAGTCTTCATGGTGGCAGATCAGAAAACAGCAAAAGGCAGCATTTATTCAGCCAATATCCCACATTCAGCAAGCATTTATTGATCACTTATTATATATCAGATCCTCTACTAGGTGTTAGAAGTGTTGAGGTAAGAGTACAGCTCTGTCTCTGAAATCAAGACAATCAAGTATTACAAGTGCTATGAAAAGTGAAGATGAGCTCTGAAAGGTCAGGCAGTACTTGCCAAATGAACAAGGTAGGAAGCACATTCTGTTGTCATGTATATGTGTAAATATTCACAGTGTGAGGTGAGACTACAAACTATGCGAACTGATTCCCCAGACCTTCACGAAAAATAAATTTCATTGCTTTTTAGAAGAATGTATTACAAGTAAATCATAAAGACCAACTTAGTCTTAAGCTAGCGTATTAACTGGACAGAGTTCTACTTATTGTTCCCTAATGGAAGCTGTTTGTTTTTCAGCTTACATCAAACCTTGCTGAGAACTGTCCTTTCTAAAATTGTTTTAATGTTTTAATTATTATTTTTAGCTACCTCCTTACATATTTTATGTCCTTTTAAACACATATATTAAGAATTTCTATACATTCTATAATAAACAATACTGGTCAAATCCACACCCATTTGTGGAAATCAAGCAGGATAAGGTAATGACTAGAATAAATTAAGGATAGATTAGTTTGTACCAAGAACAATTAAAGTATATTGACAGAAGCAATCACATGACCTTAGTGAGTAATTTACTAGTAGTAATGCACTATTTGTCCTTACTAGCCCCCAGACCTCTGCTGTTTAGGGCAAGCCGAATGTATCGCAGAATGGGCAACCCCCTACCTGACATAATGTGATAAGGGTAGACCTGTTTACTTTAATCATTTGCATACCCAAGCTCTTGTTGCTTACCCCTCTGACCCCACCTACTGTAATTAAGCACTACAGAGAATATAGTCAGAGACATGAGTTTAGGTGAGCCAACTGTAGGCTATGTGCCGTGTATCAGGTACCTATGCACTTGATCTGACTTCCAATAGAACCGAGCCTGCAGTGTGCAAATCATGGAGTGGGATTTACTAAATATGTTCTAACATATATCTCCCTCAGCTCCAAAGTCCAAGACTGTGTCCCAGGCTCAGTGTGATTCTTTGGAGAAAGGCTGGAGTTGTCCGGCCTCTTTCCAGAGCAGCATCAGATACTGCAAGCCCTTTGGACTGCTTCTGTCTGGGTCCCCCAGAAGCCAACAGAGAGCCATACTGAGCACCTTTGGCCTCCTCAGTTCAGGCCTTCTATTCAACATCCTTTGAACTGAAAAGACAAGGCACAGTCACTCCCTAAAAATGCTCTTCTAGGGACAGGTCACGGCTGAGCTCTGCCCCATTCTGCTTTCATGGTCTTCCTGGAACAGTAGGTTATGGGTCACACAGTGATTTCGCCTGAGGTACAACTCCCTTTAGCTCAGACTCTAACCCACTCTGTGACCCAGCACCCCACATATACCTGCTTTTGCTTACAGAGAGGTGATGAAAATGACATCCGATCCATCAGTTACTACCCAGAGTCGGCTTCTTTTGACCTCCGCTACTACCCTTACTACGGCAAACTGACTCACGTAAGCTGTATCCCCTTTAGTCATTGCTGTCAGAAAGGGCTCAGTGACAAAGGAAGAGCTGGCTGGGATCTATGAGAATTAGGGAGCAGGAGATAGTAGAGGGGTAAATAGCTGCTGGCCATAACCAGGAGCTCCCTCTACCAATTCTTATCACAACCACACTCCTTTCCATATCCGAAAGAATCTCATATATGGCCTAGTTTAACCTTTTAAGTTTACAAATGGGAAAATTGGGGTTCAGAGAGAAAAAATGACTTGCCCAAGACCATACAGCTAGATAGTGGCAGAGTCAGGAAAGATAAATTACTACCAATGTGCCTAAACCTGCATTAATAATCACGCTTCTGTTTCTCCCATTTGAAGCGCTGGGGTCAGTCCCCAAAAAAGGGACTCAATAGACACTAGTTTTGGTTTAATTCATGGTCTGATCTCCAGAAAAATCATATCATGCTGAGTCAGAATTGGTTTTTCCCAGAGGACAATCAGATATTTGACAGTGACTTATCAGAGAAATGTATGATTTTCCCACACTTTCCCAGCGCAAGGAGAGTATGTCAGTTGCTTTGGCCATTTGAGAATTGGCATCATGGGATTTGCTCAGTTCTCTTTGTGAGGGGCATCGCCCTGCAGTGATTATCTGATCACTTCCCTCCTACCACCTCCCCACACTTAGAATTTATTGTTCTTCTACCTACAGGTTAACTACACATCCCCCTTGGTGGCAATGCACTTTACAGACGTGGTGAAGAACCAAGCAGTGCCTGTGCAGTGCCAACTGAAGGGCAAAGGCATCATAAATGATGTCATCAATGATCGTTTTGTGGGCAGGGTAATCTTTACCTTGAACATAGAAACCTAAGAACTTCAGGGGACCATTCTTACCAGTTCTGTTTCTGTTTTATCTCATGGTATCTCTGGTAGCACTTGAATTCTTTTTCTTCAGTTAGGACACAGCCAGATGGACATCTAAGACAGCAGATCATCTTTCCTTGCCTATGATATGTGTATAAAATGACATTGTGGAAGCTGTTTGATTTTTTTAAAGGTAGTCTCTTCTGATGACAAACAGAGTTTATTAATTTCCTTTCCCTCCACTTAAAACTAAAACCTGTTCTTGCTGCTGGTAGTCTCCCTGTAGCATAAACACAGTATCTGATAAAATTTACAATAGCCGTGCAATAGCCATCAAGGAGAATTTCTATTATGATTATAAATTCATCATGTTTTCTAAAATTCTGTTGGTTTCAGAGGTCAGATTCCTCCCAACCAGGCTAATAATCTAACATATTTTTTAAAAATCTGCCTAAGCCAGGTATGGTGGCATGCATCTGCAGTCCCACCTATTCGGGAGATTAAGGCAGGAGGATCACTTGGGCCCAAGAGGTCAAGGCTGCAGTGAGCTGCATTGCACTCCAGCCTGGGTGACAGAGTGAGAACCTGTCTCTGAAGAAAATAAAACCTGCCTGGCAAGGTCTTTCCCTGGGAATCACCACTCAGACCAACCTAGACAACCTAGACCATTATACCTAAAGACCTCTATATCCAGAGGTGCTTAGGAAGCTTCTGCCTCCCACAGACAACCAAATGCTTATTCAAAGACTAGGTTATTTTCAACTGGGAAAAAAGCAGTCCTAACAGGATATTGTCCTGGGATAGAGATAAAGACTGTCCCTGTGACTTTTTAAAGAGGTGGGGCTCACTGCAACTGGGGAGAACACTTAGCATATGGATATGATTGGTGTTTGATTCCTTGCTCTCTGGTGTAATCGTCTAAAGGCAAACATTCCTGCAAACAGGTTTTTCTCAGCTTCAGGCAGAGGAGACAACATGGAAGAAGATTCCCACCAGCTAGTTCTTCTTGGGCTATTTGTTTGACTATAGCCTGGTGTTTTTTGAGACCATCGGGGTGGTTACATTGACCTTCTGCTACAGCTCTGGAAATTGAAATCAGAGTCTGTCAATGAATACATGACAAGACAGAACGTTCCTGCCAGGCCAGGCAAAAGCCGAGACCTATTAGCCAGTTTAGCATTTACTTTAAAAATGACATGAGGCAGATGCGTATCCAGGATGTGGATCAGCCAGGTCACTTTGTCTTATCTTTGGTCACCTGATCACTCCACCGCTTCTTAACACCTCCACCAGGGGGAGGGCTGGCACAAGAAGAAGAAAAAAAAAGCAAGCATCAGCGAATAGTATAGTGTATCAGGGTCCGAAGCAAGTTCAAATGCCACACAGGAGCATCCAAAGTCTGAATCTCCTCTATGATGTTTCCTTTCTCCCAAAACAGGGAACTGGCAGTCTGGTAGTGAAGACAAGCAAGTGGAGAAGTTATAAAATATAGTTTAATGAGAGTTAAAAAACTAGCATGTGGAAAGCTATGGGAACATGAGGGAAAATACCTTGAGCTGAGAAAGTAGCAGAGGAAATTTCACATGCAAAGCCACAGTCATGAAGAGACCATGGTGTGTCTGGGTAACTGTGAGCAGTTTATGTAACTGGAATGAAAAGGGTTCAGAGGAATGGCAGGGAGTGGCAAGAGATCGAGCTAGAGAGGTATTCAGGGACGGAAAGAGGACTTTGAGTTTTATCCAATAGGTGAAAATGAGTAATTAAAGCATTTTAATCAGGGAGGCTCTGTGATCACATTTGGATTTTATTTTATTTTACTTTATTTATTTATTTATTTATTTTTGAGATGGAGTTTCGCTGTTGTCGCCCAGGCTGGAGTGCAGTGGTGCGATCTCGGCTCACTGCAACCTCCACCTCCCGGGTTCAAGTGATTCTCCAGCCTCAGCCTCCTGAGTAGCTGGGATTATAGGCACACACCACCATGCCCAGCCAATTTTTGTATTTTTGGTGGAGACAGGGTTTCACCATGTTGGCCAGGCTGGTCTCGAACTCCTGACCTCAAGTGATCTGCCTGCCTCAGTCTCCCAAAGTGTTGGGATTACAGACGTGAGCCACCGCACCCAGCTTGTATTTTAGAAAGAGCACTTGGCAACCACTATGTGAAGGGTGATTGGAGAAGGACAAGATTGTGGAATGGGGAATAAGGAAGGAGGAGTTTGGAGAATGACTCCAAAGGTTTGAGCGTGGCTAGAACCGGTAAGATGGTGACATTGTTGATCAAGACTGGGAATACAAGAGAGAAGCAGGTTTGGGGAGATCAATTTTGAACATTTTAGATGTGATTTTCTATTGGTCAGACATTGATGTGGAGATGTAAACACATGTAGGGTTGGGGAGAAGGAAACATGAGAACGAAAGCAACATTGGGTTAAGGGAACTTGCTTAAGAAATTTTAAGCTATTTAATCTTGGGAATTGAAGCCAGTCATGTAAACATACCACACCAATCTAGTCCCTAACAGTGTTTTTTTCTTTTGGCATTGTGGCAGAAAGAATTGCTGTTCCTCTTTGGAATCTCCTTCCCAGACACCTTCAAAGTCTTATTGACAGAGTAGAGGGAGGCCAACCACTACTAATAAGTAATAGAAGATGTAGGATCTTCTACAGTAGGTTAATGGGAAATACAAAAACAAACAAACATACAATGAAACTGCCTCCTCTCAACCCATTTTCTTAACAAATTCAATTTTCAAAACTAACCTTTAAAAATAAAAGGAACAAAATGAAAAAGACAACAACTTTTAAACCACTTGAAAATTACCTCAAACAATCAAACTCTCAAGATTCAGTAGTAAAAGATAATAGAACGTTAGATCTGGAAAGGATATTAGAGAGTGTTTAGAAAAAACAACTTGCATTGCATCTGACTCCAGGTCCAGTGCTCTTTCTACTCTGAGCTGCTGCTTACCAGAAAGTACCATCTTCTTAAAAATCAATTAATGACATCCCAAACATTTTGAAACATATGTAAATTTTGAGTTAAAATAGTTAACATTTCACAGGAATTCAACTACTGGTGCTATATTTTATACCTAATACATGATCCTGTTAAATGCATTGACTATTAGACAAGGAATTATGAATCATTTGTCAAACAATATTTCTCTTTCAATGGAATCCATTGTGTCCACAATTGCAAAGCAATATTGAAGGGCACTAAGATAGTTTGTGTTGTCAGCTAGGACATGAAAAATATAGCTTTACTATACAGAACTGGATATGATAATATATTCATTAAAGTTATATTTTAACTGTTCAATAAACTTCTAGTAGATTAATTTAAATAGTTCCCCATACTGTGTTGCATCAGGATTTGATTTGTATGCCATCTGTTGCAATGCACTTGGTTTTACTTGCTTGTCAATGAGAAATATTATTTCCAAATGTTTTCATGGTTTTGTCCATGCTGGACTTTGGTTATGATTTTTCACCTTCTACACCCCTGAAATCATTATCCTTCATTATCCTAAAGTAACCTTTCTTAGGCACCTGTTTTCTGGGGATCAACATGTAAAAAAACATTTATATTGTCTTGAGGAGTTGTCAACAACAATAAATTGAAATAAAAAAGAAATGTACGATTTTCTCTTTCTAGACCATATCACTGATTTTCCCAGAGGAATATTGGGCAGCCATGTGGGTGGAAAACTTGACAATTGACAACCTGTTAGTTAAATATTGTTTTTCTTCTCTCTCCCCTCTTTTTGACTCTTGGGGTTTAGTCATAGGAGGATAAAACTAAAAGTTGTTTCATTTCTGGGCATTTTTTCTTTTGTAGTCTCTGTGCTCTGGTTTCTCATTAGACTGCTTTGTGAGAGCAGCCCTTTTTTTTTTTTAAATCAAGGTTGAGTCCTGGTATAAACTGTTATGTTTGTTTGTGTAGGAGAGGAACACTAAGAGAAACTTTCAGGGGGAGGGAGGGACAGAATCAAAATTCAAAGAGAAACTTTGAAAATGTTTGATGAAAGTCTGGCTAAATGGCTTTAAGGCACATCTAGCCACAAACTGTCTCCCAGAGCAAATCTCTAATGGCAATTGCAATTAAAGACATAAATGTTTCCAATCCCTTATTCAACTCAGGGGCTAGGCTGTAGCAGGAATCTTTCCTTCTTTCCTTGGAAGCTGCCTCAGTCTAAAGTCTGCTAGGCAACAGATCCCTGATCCCAACATATTTCTAATTCTTCATTAGAGTCATTTTCTTTACTGCCTCCCTCTTAAAATAGTCATACATAATAAAGTAATTTAACTAAACCATACAGAAGTGTGATTTACACTGTGCTTTTATCCAGGCAGAAAATGGAGATTTGGGTATTTATACGCATATGTTGGGAGGAAGGAGAGTGGATACAATGTATGGAGGCAAAGGGCAAGGGAAAATAAATGGAAACACTACTTTACAAAGTTCTTTAGTTGCAATCTAGAAGGGAAGAAGGGTTGATACTGGGATCCAAAAGTTTTAAGCAGAATATAGTAAGCTTTCAGTCTGACAGCTTACTCTGCAGAATGTACTTCCGTGCAGACCCCTATATGACCATAACTCAACAAGAAATAGATAGCACACTTGACAAAAAAAAGGATAATTGGAAGAAGATTTATTTACAAAGGGATTACTTACGGAAGCATAGATATAGGGAACCACCAATAACACAGTAACCCAGCCTAGTAAGAGCTGAACTCTTACCATCTCTTGACCCTAAGGTATAGGAGCAGGAAATGGTTACTAGAACTCAGAAGGAATGAGTTGTGTACAACTGGCTGCCTTGAGAGGAGTGGTGACTTTGTTGAAGGACTGAGCTAACCCAAGGAGATCTTTTAGGGAGAATAAATACTGCAACTTAATTTTTCTCATTGGCCAAACCCAACCAAAAGCTGGGGGCGGGGGGGGGGACAACAAAACAAACAAACAAACAAACAAACAAACAAACAAAAAACGATTGATGCAGCCCATATAGGTCAGACTCCTAAAAAAGAAAGCAGGGTGGAGAAAGGTGGAGAGTGCATCTGGAGGGGCAAACTGGCGATATCTAGCAGTTACTGAGTGGAGGTTCTGTGAGCAGACTCCTTGGAGCCTGGTATAGTGTTGGAATCATCTACTGAACCAACCCTAGGGACTGGGGCAATTTTATTTTCATACATACTTTGCTTCATGGCTGTGGGGTCAAAGGCATTAGGCTTTTCCATTATAGAACTTTTTTCTCTATTCTTTAGTATTTATTCCCTTTTCAAATTTTCTTATTCATACTTTCTAATCTGGTGTCCTTTGGTGTATTATTTAGAACTCTTTTGCTTGCATGTGACAAAACAAGCAAATGAACAAAAAAATTCAAATTGACTTAAGGATAAAGGGGAATTTACCAAATCAAAAAACTGAAAAGTCCAGTTGTAGTTTGGGTTCAGGCATAGCCAGGTCCAGGAACTCAAAGGTGTGATTAGGAACTAGTCTCTCTCCACCTCTGTATTCTGCTCTCTATTAAATCAAGATAGGCAAGAGGGCTGCCTGCCTTGCCAGGCCTACATCCTCAAAGGTTAATGTCCAATTGAAAAGAAAGTTTCTCTTCCCTGAAAATTCAAATAAAAAATAAAAGATTCTTAAGCGAGGCTTCAAGTGGCTGACTAGTGGCATCTCATATTTGCCTCCTCTACTAATAAGAACTAAAATAGAGAGTAGATAATCATGCTTAGAATAGACCATCCAAGGAAGAACACTGGAATTCAACAGAAACGTGGTAAGAAACACCTAAAGCAAAGAAGGAGAGGGAAGCAAAGCAGCCTAATCAGCTGGAATCAACTGGGAGCCTGGAGAGACTCCCCAGTGCTGAGAAAGGGTAAATGAGAGGCCTCCATGGGATCCACATTCCCACCACGAATCCCTGCCATTCTAGCCAGGGGAGAGCCCCTAGATTCTTGCAGACCCTGAAACTAACCTAGAGAGCTACCTGGAAACTGCACAATGACACTGCTCCAGGGAGAGAGTCTGTGCTGGGCCCCACACTCCCTCCCATTCCTAAGCAGCTACATACAGCAAAGTGCCATTTTGAGAGCCCAGCCCACAACTGACTGCACATTGTCCTGGGGCCCAGCAGCACCCTGGCTGAGGTGCCACCCAATTGCAGTTTGCCACAGGGCTGAGGCACAAGCACGATGCAGCCTGGCACAACCAAACTTGGGATACAAGAAGAACATGCACTCCCCACCTGCTGGAATAGGCTGCTGCCACTGAAGGCAACTTGCAGTCCCCAGTGGCAGGGCTGCAGCATGTCTGCTGTCACACCCCACTTGAGCATTCCACTGGGACCTAGGGATTGCCTCACCTTTGCCTACTATGGCAAGTGTCTGCAAGCACTGTCGAGGGAACTGCCCACCCCGGCATTGCCCCACACTCCATGCCAGAGCACACAGTCAAAGGGTCTGGGAACTGCCCAACCCAGTTCCACCTTTAACACCTAAGTACTCCTCCTGGTGGCTGAGATTGGGCCTACCGGCCTTGCTGATACCACCCAGCTGGCACCTACCTGAACAAGCCACCTGCAGACCTGGAGACTGGCCCACCCAGACCATCGCAGCCACCACCAATGCCAGTGTGCTCCACTCAGGACCTAGAGGGTTTTCTTGCCACTGCTACTGCCATTGCCCACACCACATTGGCTGCCCAAGGGCCCTGCCCACCTGCCCAGCCCACCACTGCCACTACCAGCATCTGAGCAAGCCACCTGGAGGCCCAAAGATCAGTACCCCTGGACCCACTGACGTTAGTGCCAGTATATACTGCCCTGGGGCCCAAGGACAGACACAGCCCATAGCTGCTGCCACTGGGGCCCAAAGACTGGCCCACCTGGTATCTCAGTCCCCAGCAAAATGTCATTAATAAACATACCTTAAGCCATCCAGGAAATTACAGATACCAGACGTTGCTTACAGCCAAAGAAATCACACAGAGGCCCGGTGTGGTGGCTCACATCTGTAATCCCAACACTTTGGGAGAGCAAGGTGGGAGGATTGCTTGAGGCCAGTGGTTGAAGACCAGCCTGGGCAACATGTTGAGACTCTGTCTCCACTAATAATGATAATAATAATAATAATAATAATAATAATAAACAAAGAAATCATACAGAGACTATGCTACTGCATGCACTCAGAATCAGAGCCAAAGTGCCCTATCCAACCAACACCGTAAACACATCATCATGAAAAAGTCCTCCTCTACAAGAACAAATTTAAAAAATCGGAGGGAGCAACTGCTACACCAGATGCACAAATATTAACACCAGGACACAGGAAACATGAAAAAGCAAGGAAATATGACACCTCCAAAGGAACATAATAATTCTTCAGAACAGATCCCAATCGAAAAGAAATTTATTAAATCCCAGAAAAGGAATTAAAAATACTGATTTTAGAGAAGCTCAGTGATTCCAAATAGCCGAAGCAATTGCAAGCAAAAAGAGCAAAGCTGGAGGCATCACATTACCTGACTTCAAATTATACTACAAGGCTATAGTAACCAAAACAGCACGGTACTGGTATAAAAATAGATGCATAGATCAATGGAATAGAATAGAGAACCCATAAATGAATCCACATATTTATAGCCAACTGATCTTTGACAAAGTTAATGAGAATATACACTGGGGAAAGGGCACTCTATTTAATAAACGATGCTGGGAAAGTTGAATAGCCATATGCAGAAGAATGAAACTGGACCCCTGTTTCTCACCATATACAAAAATCGAATCAAAATGGTTTTAAAAAAGCGAGAATCCAAATTGGAAAAGAGGAAGTCAAATTTTTCCTCCTTGCAAATGATATTGAAATTTTTATATCTAGAAAAACCTAGAAAGTTTACTGAAAAACTCTTAGATCTGGTAAATAAATTCAGTAAAATTGCAGCATACAAAATCAACATACAAAGATCAGTAGTATTTCTATACACCTAATGAATTAGCTGAGAAAGATCAAGAAGGTAATCTCATTTATAATAGCTACAAAAAAGAACAAAATACCTAGGAATAATCGTAACCGAGGAGATGAAAGACCTCTACAAGGAAAACTACTAAATGCTAATGAAAGAAATTAAAGAGGACATAAACAAATGGAAAGACATTCCATACTCATGGATTGGAAGAATTAATATCATTAAAATGGCCATATGCCCAGATTCAATGTAGTTCCTATTAAATATCAATGCCATTTTTTCACAGACTTAAAAAAATCCTAATATTTGTATGGAACCAAAAAAGAACCTCAATAGCCAAAGCAATCCTGAGCAAAAAGAAGAAACCTGGAGGCATCACATTACCTGACTTCAAAATATATTACAAGGATATAGTAAACCAGAATAGCATGGCATTCATATAAAAACAGATACATAGACCAATGGAACAGAACAGAGAGTCCAAAAATTAATCCACATATTTACAGCCAACTGATTATTGACAAAGATGCCAAGACCACACATTGGGGAAAGGGCAATCTGTTCAATAAATGGTGCTGGAAAAATTGAATATACATATGCAGACGAATGAAACTGGACCCCTCTCTCTCACCATATACAAAAATCAACTCAGGATGGATTAA